CAGGTTCAGAAACCACTATATATCCTGGTCGCAATATCCTCAGTTTCGTGGTGTTAAAGAAATTTGTTCTCTTTATTTGAAAAGTGGGCCTTAGCTAAGGCCCTATCTCTTAAAGGGACCCTCCCACCTTCAAAAAAGTTAATGAATTGGCATGAAAGTGATGTCGCTCGGTTCAGAAAGAGCAAAAACAAATATCTACCAAATTTCATCGAAAAATATTCACCGGTTTTCAAGATATTATACTTTTACTTTTGTTTACTTTTGGGGATCTCCGCTGTTCCTAGCGACTTTATTTGAAAGTGCGGCATTTGTTGCGCGCAAAGCAGCGTATACCAATCGTTAGATATCTGCACTGACGTCACACATTCAGAGGGGTATTCCTTTGCATTAGCCCCTCTGAATCAAAATGCTGCAATTTTGAAATTCAATATTTCCGATTTAAGGCATTTCTCGATGTTGTGAGTGCCGAAACCGGTAATTGTGAGCCAGGGACCCCATTTTGGCTATCTCAACTCAAATCTAATGTTAAGGTGGGAGGGTCCCTTTAACTATTAACGGCCATTTGTTGACGTCATTTGCATTTTGAACGCCTGTCATGCATGTGAAGTTTCACTTGATTTACGAATAAGCTAATCAGAGACACTTGTTAGTTGTTATTGTATGAACCGCGTCATATTTGAGAGCAAATACCTATATCTTCTGCCAAATTTCCCCCACATTGACATGAAGTAAATCTTTCATTACGTCACAGATCCGATCTAAATGACGTCACGATGAAACATAAAAGTCGCAATATCTCAAAAGTATACAATGAAAACGCGTAAAAACTTGCAGAATTCGTCACAATATCATGAGTAGCATTTCCGAATCCTAAATGGTACTTTTCTAAAGGTGGGATAGTCCCTTTAACTTCATGGTTAATATCTGGTTCAAATGACGGGGAACCGCATGACGTCGCGAAAATAAAAACCCACGAATTCCAAAGTATGTGCAAAATGTAGAGTTCATCCAGATCTTACGTCCGTGGAAGAATCAAAGCTCGTGGCTCTTTAACTTCATGGTTAATATCTGGTTTAAATGACGGGGAACCGCATAACGTCGCGAAAATAAAAACCAACCAATTCCAAAGTATGTGCAAAATGTAGAGCTCATCCAGATCTAACATCCGTGGCAAAATCCAAGCTCGTGGCTCATCAACTTCATGGTAAATATCTGGTTTAAATGACGGGGAACCGCATAACGTCGCGAAAATAAAAATCCACGAATGCCAAAGTATGTGCGAAATGTAGAGCTCATCCGGATCTAACGTCCGTGGCAGAATCCAAGCTCGTGGCTCTTTAACTTTATGGTTAATAATATAGTTAATAATATAATAATATGGTTTATAATATAACTTAATGGTTAATAGATCTGGATGAACTCTACATTTTTTACATACTTTGGAATTCGTTGTTTTTTTTTTATTTTCGCGACGTTATGCGGTTCCCCGTCATTTGAACCGGATTTTAACCATGAAGGCGTTGAGCCACGAGCTTGGATATTTCCACGGACGTTAGATCCGGATGAGCTCTACATTTTGCACATACTTTGGAATTCGTGGGTTTTTATTTTCGCGATGTTATGCGGTTCCCCGTCATTTAAACCAGATATTAACCATAAAGTTAAAGAGCCACGAGCTTCGATTCTGCGACGGACGTTAGATCTGGATGACCTCTACATTTTGCACATACTCTGGAATTCGTGGGTTTTTATTTTCGCGACATTAAGCGGTTCCCGTCATTTAAACCAGATATTAACCATGAAGGCGTTGAGCCACGAGCTTTGATTCTTCCACGGACGTTAGATCTGTATGAGCTCTACATTTTGCACATACTTTGGAACTCGTTGGTTTTTATTTTCGCGACGTAATGCGGTTCCCCGTCATTTAAACCGGATTTTAACCATGAAGGCGTTGAGCCACGAGCTTGGATTCTTCCACGGACGTGAGATCTGGATGAGCTCCACATTTTGCACATACTTTGGAATTCGTGGGTTTTTATTTTCGCGACGTTATGCGGTTCCCCGTCATTTAAACCAGATATTAACCATGAAGTTAAAGAGCCACGAGCTTGGATTCTTCCGCGGACGTTAGATCTGGATGAGCTCTACATTTTGCACATACTTTGGAATTCGTTGGTTTTTATTTTCGCGACGTTATGCGGTTCCCTGTCATTTAAACCAGATTTTAACCATGAAGGCGTTGAGCCACGAGCTTAGATTCTCCCACGGACGTTAGATCTGGATGTGTTCTACATTTTGCACATACTTTGGAATTCGTGGGTTTTTATTTTCGCGACGGTATGCGGTTCCCCGTCATTTAAACCGAATTTTAACCATGAAGGCGTTGAGCCACGAGCTTGGATTCTCCACGGACGTTAGATCTGGATGAGCTCTACATTTTGCACATACTTTGGAATTCGTGGGATTTTATTTTCGCGGCGTTATGCGGTTCCCCGTCATTTAAACCGGATTTTAACCCTCGCCCGTAAACGGTGTTTTGCCACCTTCGCCCATGCAGGGGGGTTGGTGCGACCCCCCCTGGCGTTTGAAAACGGAGCGTCGTAGAGCTTAGCGGAAAAGACCAACGGATTGCTCTCAACGAGATCTCGCGATTGGTGGTATATTTTTTGGTCCTATGTCAACATTTGACCTACTTATGACCGGTCAAAGGTCAAATTTTCGGAAAAGTCTAACTTTTTCAGATTTCCGCACCGATTGCGGCAAAACGTTAAGAGATATCGACTTGAAACCTTCACTATCGTGATCCTTGATCAATTCTCTATCGTTTGGTGTGTATTTCGATGTCATAACTAAAAAATGATGCGTTGGGAGCATCGGAAGTCTGCAAGGTCATTTGTTCATTGGGTCACGTCAGGCGTGTGACGTCACTGACCTGACCCTGACCCAAAATGAACTACAAGAAACAACTGACGATGCCTGAAATGGATAGCAAATTCGAATTCAGGCCATCAAAATACCCCGAAAAGGCATACAAGTGCAAGAAGTCATTACAGGTCATCCGAGGTCACTGACCTGACCTTGACCTTTAGTAACCTTGAAAAGGTCAACGGACATTGTGCCAATGTCAAATCAGCCAGTTATGATTCTAAAACAATCCATCAGTGTGTCAGGTCAGTCGGCATTTATACCATTGTGAAGCAATCTCCAATTTAGCGTAAATCTGGCCGGAGGTTGTTCCCTTTATGACGTCATAACTCCGTGACCTGACATGACCTTGACAAAAACAAAATTACCAAAAGTTGCGCAAAGGATGCCCCAAAGGGTACTGAAAATTTGAGCAGGCTATCTGAAACGGTTCGGCGTGTAGCTAAGAAAATCCTCAGGGGGGGGGGGGGGGGGTTGCACCAACCCCCCCCCCTACATGGGCGAGGGTTAACCATGAAGGCGTTGAGCCACGAGCTTGGATTCTTCCACGGACGTGAGATCTGGATGAGCTCCACATTTTGCACATACTTTTGAATTCGTCGGTTTTTATTTTCGCGACGTTATGCGGTTCCCCGTCATTTAAACCAGCTTTTAACCATGAATTTAAAGAGCCACGAGCTTGGATTCTTCCGCGGACGTTAGATCTGGATGAGCTCTACATTTTGCACGTACTTTGGAATTCGTTGGTTTTTATTTTCGCGACGTTTTGCGGTTCCCCGTCATTTAAACCAGATTTTAACCATGAAGGCGTTGAGCCATGAGCTTGAATTCTCCCACGGACGTTAGATCTGGATGAGTTCTACATTTTGCACATACTTTGGAATTCGTGGGTTTTTATTTTCGCGACGTTATGCGGTTCCCCGTCATTTAAACTGAATTTTAACCATGAAGGCGTTGAGCCACGAGCTTGGATTCTTCCACGGACGTTAGATCTGGATGAGCTTTACATTTTGCACATAATTTGGAATTCGTGAGTTTTTATTTTCGCGACGTTGTGCGGTTCCCCGTCATTTAAACTGGATTTTAACCATGAAGGCGTTGAGCCACGAGCTTGGATTCTTCCGCGGACGTTAGATCTGGATGAGCTCTACATTTTGCACATACTTTAGAATTCGTGGGTTTTTATTTTCGCGACGTTATGCGGTTCCCCGTCATTTAAACCGGATATTAACCATGAAGTTAAAGAGCCACGAGCTTGGATTCTTCCGCGGACGTTAGATCTGGATGAGCTCTACATTTGGCACATCCTTTGGAATTCGTTGGTTTTTATTTTCGCGACGTTATGCGGTTCCCCGTCATTTAAACCAGATTTTAACCATGAAGGCGTTGAGCCACGAGCTTGGATTCTTCCACGGACGTGAGATCTGGATGAGCTCTACATTTTGCACATACTTTGGAATTCGTGGGTTTTTATTTTTGCGTCGTTATGCGGTTCCCCGTCATTTAAACCAGATATTAACCATGAAGTTAAAGAGCCACGAGCTTGGATTCTTCCGCGGATGTTAGATCTGGATGAGCTCTACATTTTGCACATACTTTGGAATTCGTTGGTTTTTATTTTCGCGACGTTATGCGGTTCCCCGTCTTTTAAACCAGATTTTAACCATGAAGGCGTTGAGCCACGAGCTTGGATTCTCCCACGGACGTTAGATCTGGATGAGTTCTACATTTTGCACATACTTTGAAATTCGTGGGTTTTTATTTTCGCGACGGTATGCGGTTCCCCGTCATTTAAACCGGATTTTAACCATGAAGATCAGCTCAAAAGTTAAAATAAATGTCATATTCGTGTTCAGCATGGTCAATTTAACCCATGCCATGAATTTGAAGTGGTTTGGAATTCGTCGCTGAATACGTATACGTATACGTCGTTAAGTTCACGGACATATCAGGAATAGGGGCCCATTTGAGAGCGGCCGCTATGACTGTGACCCCAAAATGATTTCAGATTTCATGACCCCAAAATAATTAATCATAGATATATTTAGCGCCAAAATCAGTTTAATGTGTTTTACCTGTATTCGCTTACAGGAGCTCCTTCACGGCCTCAAATCCTCCGAAAAATTAGCGCACGTCGCTACGTCGTTCAGAAGCCCCTCTCAGTTCTCACGGTATAAAGAAAGCTGTCCCGTACAGGGCAGGTATATAGAACCTAGAACAACGGGTAGGTACACCAACAACGCGGAAAGCACCCATTTTACCCGGATGAGTTACATGGTAGGTGATATATTTTTTTTGAATATGGAAAAATAGAGTGTTCTTTTCCGACGAGTAAAGCCAAATTCATAAAGCAGCTATTTTTAAATTAAATTTACAAGAAATAACATACTAACCATAGTTTAAAACTTAGTGTAAAGATAGTTGAAAAGCGTAAAGTTGATACTAAAATGGCAGGAATCAATGGAAGGCAGAAATGGCGCAGCTGTTTCATTCTTGAAATGTATTCGCAAGCAGGATTTACGTGATGCTAGCGACATCTTTTAATGTAATTGGGGATGCTGATTGTCTGATAGAGTCCGTGAGCAGTATCACTAATTTACGCCAGTACAGGGTTGAGGCAATGTGCGCATGGGCAGGAACTTGTGCTCTCATGGAGGGGCTTTTGGTACCTCGGGCAGCGCCCAATGCTTTTCGGACCTGTTATGGCCTCCGCATTGAAAAACGCTACATAAAAAGGTTGTAGAGGAAGCTTGAGGCTACCTTTCCCCACAATAATATTGGCACTTTATCTTTTAGCTTCCGTATGAGGCTCGCTTGAAAAAGGTCGATTTAACATGGAAACCCTATGGGGTAGTAGTTTTTGAGCGCCCATTTGGCCTAATGCTACCAACTGTTACTGGCTACCCCTGGTCCCGTATCCCTCGCAGCAAGTTCTCTTCACTCCTATCAGCTGTCTCATCCTTATCTCCGTGATGTGTTGTGTGAGACCAGTGACGTCACAGGATTGCGACGTCCTGATTGGGCGACAGCTCCGAATTGCCCGACTGGTGGTCCGCGACTCGACAAGTAAACGTGCGCTGACTGGGGATTTGTAATGGCGTCAACGGCAAAAGTGTGCTGCTACCGCTGCTACAGTACTCTAATCAATAATAGTATTATAATAATAGTAATAATAATAATAATAATAATAGTAATAGTAATAATAGTATAATAGTATTATATGACCGTGACTCTAATTGTGTTTGAATAGTATCTAAGCAGTTAGAATTACGTCAAACATCATTGTCCAGTGAGTGTTCTTGTTTGTGGTGTGAATTTGAGCTCAAGCCTCACATCAAATCATGTGATAATTTTTTCCTCAGTGTCATGTATGGTAGCAGAAAGGGCCCTATGTTGGGCTATTTTCAATAGGATCGCATTACAGCCGTCCGACCACTCGCACCAGTGACGTCAAGGAAATTGCTGCTTCGGCCTAATGAACATACCTTCTATATACCTACGGCCTTGCACTCCCTTGGCCTTACTCAACTATCCACAAGCGGTAGGTATCCGGACAAATCTTCGTATTACATTTCTGCGTCGCGCAAGTCCACATACATCCGCATTTCTTCGTGCACAAAACTTCGTCCGCACTCTTCGTCTAGTCGCATTTCTTCGTCTGCAAAACTTCGTCCGCACTCTTCGTCTAGTCGCATTTCTTCGTCTGCAAAACTTCGTCCGCGCATTTCGTCGTGTTGCATTTCTTCGTCTCGCAAATCATCGTAAGTAGGTAAACAATTTCGTAGCGCATTTCTTCGTATTTGCATTTCTCCATCTCGACAAATCTTCGTCCTTTGATCTTCGTCTACGCAAACCTAAGGTGGTTAGGTAAGCACTTAGAGGAAAAGGGCCACCTTTAACATGGGGATTGAAACTGAGATAGCCATCTTGTAGCCCGTGTCCGAAAACCTTGCTGTCTACCTCCTTACGGCCGATTTCGGCCTCCATTCGTAGTTATCGGCAATTTTAAAAGAAAATACGCCAGGAATGCGTCCTTATCCCAGGAATGCGTTCTTATCCGACAATACAGCCACCCGCGGCGAGGCTTTGGTTTTTTACCAATCAGCTCCAACCAGCTCAGCTTTAACCAATCAGCTTATCTGACACAATCCGACGAGTCTGTCTTCTGAACGCTGATTGGCTTGAGTGTGACGTCATCGCTATGCCATCATACAGTAGGTGCCGTAGAGAGTATCAACATAGTACCAATATGTTAAATAGTTTTAAATTCTTTTTCGCGAATTGTGCACTTCTGGCACCAGTTTTAAAAAGAAAATGAAAAATAATAATGTCAAAATGAAAAACAACGATATATTCATATTTCACGAAGGTGGCCCTTTTCCTTTAAGCCTACGCCGGCACAGGGGGCCGGGGGGAGGTTGATACAACCTACAACCCCCTTGGGCTTTTCGCGAATAACTCACGTAAAAAGTGACCGATCGCGACGAAACTTTCAGTACCCTCGCATTGATAAATTTTACACCTACCCTGAAAATTTCATGACCTTGACCCAAATGACCTTTGACCTGTGACCATGGGCGTAGCCAGGATTTCCTCCAGGAGGGGGCCAAACTTACAGGGGCCCAAGGTACACCCCCTAAAAATCCAAAAAGTCATCGGATTTCATCCACTATCTTTTGGAGGGGGCCCAAATAAATTTAAAAAAAAAAATCAAAAAAATGAAAACAATGTTAGAACTGAGGGGCAAGCAGTCCATGGGTCCCTGCTAGATAGGCCCACGAATAGCTTCATAGAGTCGCTCAGCCGGTTCTGAAGGCGGTCTTGAGGGCCCCGTGGGTTGGATGAGTGTCCTTCAGACCGTCAAAGGCCCCTACAGCCCATGAGAGCCTCGTAAGCCGTCTGAGGGTCATGTAAGCCGTCTAAGGGCAGGGGCGTAGCCAGGATTTTCTTCAGGGGGGAGGGTGGTAATCAAACCGAAAGGGGCCCATGTGAGCGAAGGGGCCCAACATTTTCTTTATTTCATTAAGTAGTTATTTGCTTAACTACCTTAAAATTACGAAGGGCCCCTGCGAACCCAATGGACAGGGCCCCGAGGGGCCCAGTGGCAAAGCCTCAGGCCGGCCGAAGGGCCCTTTTATAAGCAATGAAGAGAGCCCAGAGGGCCCTAGCGGCAAGGTCTCAGGACCGAAGGGCCCCCGCGAACCCAGTGGAGTGCCCCGAGGGGCCCTTACGCTACGTTTATTGTGCCCCTTACCGTACTTATGACACCGCGATGGGGGCCCTTTTGGGCTCCAGGGGGGCCATGGCCCCTATGGCCCCCCTTTGCTACGCCCCTGCCTGTGACCTACTTTCCGAATAGGGTCCAGTTACGTCAGGTTTGGTTGTTTTGTTTTATGTTTGATTATTTGACAGTTCTACTGATCACTAATTTTTGCAGTGCTTTTGTCGTTACAATTATGTTGCTCGAAATACATAATTGGCGCAAGCATAAACGCCACAGCCCAAGGCTATATAAACCAGGTAGAACGCTCCGGGAAAAAAGTTGGAAACAATAAATTAGTTGCGGCATTCCCTGATGACGCGAATGTGGGTCAGCGGCCGGCGGCCGGCGGCCGCTAACACTGTATGAGGATGAATGCACGGAACTTTTGCTTGTTGGAGATTGCGCTAGGCAGTTAAATGTTAATGTTAGGATATGTTTCGAAAGTAAATTGAACGACGCTTCGAACGCCGTCAATGAATTTGCGATACGACGACTATTTGTTTAGTTAAAGCCGGCGAACTTTTACCTTCCGACCGCGCGGGGAGGCGATATGGTGCCACACTGACGGTTTTTACGACAGCTAAAAATTCTTTTGAGCTAAAGAGCTGAAATTTGACATGTCCAATCTTTTGATCAAGCTGGATCTTCTGGTACAAGTCGCATATTTAAGGTACGTAAGGTTGTTGAGCTAAGTTGTCGCTCGTGAGCCTCTACATAGTCCAAAAACAACGCAATTTCTAAGCACTCAGTGCCAAGAAATCCTTCACAGAAAGATGATACTTGGTGGAAAGAATGGCTGTCGGTTTCTTACCGTTCGTATGTATCGTGTTTTCACAAGAGTTTAGTAAGGTCAGGTCCCTCACGTCACCTCCCCTCATAACTCAATAGGACTAGGTGTACTATCATAGAAGCGTTTATCAATCGCCGGAAATCTTAGCCAATCCCACTGGACACCGGATCCATACCCGCATGGGGCCCTCCTGACTGGCCACTCCCTCTGAAATCCACAATAACATTGGGCTGCGGCCATGGTTATGTATTAATGCTTTTCACTAACAGAAATACAACAACTTCAACCAGCACAATGCACGCCGCCACAACAGTCCGACCAACGTCCCTGATATCGACTAGCACTCTGCCGGATGCACATATGCGGAGCCTGTCCTGTCCGAATGTGACCTGCAGCTTACAATTGCTGTGTCGCATGGCGCGTGGCACAGGACGATTCCTAGCAGCTGTCGGCTGGAGTGGAGAAACAGCACGTTGCGATACACCGCGCCGGCGACAGAGCTCAGCAGGGCTGGTTGGAGGCTGGAGACGGAGGTAAGGGCGGACACAGGCACAAACATTGCAGGACAAATAACAGGATGTCAGTTAGGGATATAATTCAAGACGAATGATTCAAGACGGACTGAAATAATGCACATTTTGCTCACTTGGATACCAACTTCAAACTTGACGTTTATAGCACCGCGGAAACAATGGCCACACAGGAAAGAATCAAAAGATGATGTGTTTTTAACTCAAAGTAAATAGAGGTTGCATATGATGGAACAGCCCGAAGTGCAGACAAGCACATATTTTTGGTAATAGCTATCAGCTGTCCTACTCCTCTTCTCCCTTCATCAACTACTGGACACATCTGAGGAAGCACCAATGTCCATAACAAAAGCTTGCAAAGTAGTTTTATGAAGCCAAGGGCCACCTATGCCTACATCATGCATGTAAACTCAAAATTACACATGCATGACAAAGAAAGCTTATGTAAAGAGAAGAGTTGGCAAAAGCATTTCATAGTTAAAATTATTCAAAACTGCACACAGGGCAAACATAAAAAGCAGCAAGTGTGCTGTTCTGTTATGCTAAGAAATAGTCCAAAACAAAATACATCTTTTCATGTTTGAACTGGTTATTCTTCTATGCCACTTCATCCATATCTTGATTACAGATGGGCTGTTGCTGCAGGCTGATGAAGTGACACTTGATTGCCTTTGTGCGAGTTTCAGTTGCAGCCTCCTGGGTACTGCACTGGAAAGCAGACTGAATTGAATGCCTCTGAAAGATAGGAATACAGGCAAAGTTAGCTGTAGTAGTGTCAATGATAATAGACATGACATTTTTGTCCTTTGACATACATTTTGACATACATGAAGTACAAAAAGGTACGAAATAAATTGGTTGGTTTGTTTCAAGACACGCGCACTGCACAAAGCCGCACAGACATTACACAGGGATATGAAATTGGTACACATAAAACTTGCTGATTAAAAAGGTCAAAACTTGCAATAATAATTGAAGTAAAAGTTACAATCACAATCATTTGATTTAAAATGACTTGACAAGTCACAAGACGCAACGCTCCTATTCACTTAAGAAAGGTTTTTATGCTTTCATTATCCTCCACATATCAACCAGCTTGATACCAGGCTGTGCAATAGTGTGTACATAACCCCATGTTGCCATTTTATTAGAGCAAGTGGGGTACAACAACAATGCTGATGTCAAACCCACATCTGCAACCCGTACTGCAGTTTCAATCACCTTACAAGCACACCTTCTGGCAGTTTGATAGGCAGAATGGTCATTACTACTTTCTCCTCATATTCAACACATATTCCCTTTATACAGATATAGTTTAGACCTGGTTATGGCAAGCATTTTCGAGAAAAGATATGATCAAAGTCCAAGACAAAGGTCGAGAGAAACAACACCAACACAAAACACCGACTATGTAGCACTAATACTGTCAAATTCATAAAAATATATACATGAGTCGATCAAAAATTCACTGTAGATTTCGAAAATGGTGTCAAATGCCACTCAAATACCTCCATTCGCATGTACGAAGCAATAAAACACTGACCTTCAATTCCGCGTGCCATTCTCCATAGGCCACTGTGTATTAAATAACGCGTTCACTGATAGCAAAAAATGAGACCCACATATGACGCGTTTGCTACCAGCCAATCAGCGCTCGAGATGCCGAACGCTGATTGGTGGAGAGGGCCGTCGTTAGCAGTCCATTACACGTTGTTTTCCCTGAACATGTGCGTGAGCGCTTATGCTGCTCACGGGCTGTTGCCATTTTTCGTAATGCTGAAGGCACGGGAGCGAACCCCCATGCCAAGGCCCTAAATACGCTAAATACAAGGTTGCACGGACTTATTTCTACTAAACCTACCAGAATTTTTTTTGCCAGAATTTTTTTACCAGAATTACTAAACCTACAGTCATTTTTTCATATATTTTCTCTCTCTAATATCTACCAGAATATAGTTTCACGGTTGATTATTTAAATAATTATTCAATCAAAATTTCTTTATTATTATCTCGTAATCATTATAAGCAATTTTATAAATCAACTTTCAATTTGCTTGCCTTTTACTAGCAAAATAACTTTTCTAGTATTGGGTCAACATAGTGGTGTAGCAGTAGGAACCACATCTGGCAAAACCCCAATACCTACATACAGCAGAAAAGCAGCCACCAGGTGTCGCCACAGTCGCCACTTGGTCGCCACACAGATGTCGCGCGCGTCGCCAATCGCCACACTACCGATTTCCATAAGGACGCATATGTACGGATATGTATAGGAAAGTCGCCCTTAAGGATTACGCTTCCATCCTTTGCTTATGAGGTCGGTGGTTGGAAATTGGGACTGGCTCAGCTATTTTCGACCACGGATATGCCTTTATCACATGATGAGGAACATGCTGATAAGCGTTTTATGCGTCATAACAGCACAAAAGTATTTTTAATCATTTTTCAAAAATAGCCGTTCTGCCGTATCTTTCAGTGCAAGGTGCCGTCGGTCATCCCCGACGTGACGTCACGCAGGGAATTTGCCAGATTTTCCTACTAGACTTCGACACCCCCTGCCCCCTGCCACAGCCACAGCCATCCCATTGCCTTGCCACAGCCCTATACCACAGCCCGAACATCAATTTGAATTTAATGAATTTAACGGTAAGTTTCACTGTCATTTATGTGTAACGAAACTATTTCATACATATTTTTCGAAATTTAAAACAATTTGACGTAAATTCATGGACCTATTCATCCATGCCATTACAATTATAGAGTTCAGTGCAAGTGGCCGTTACACAGCGGTGGACGTTCCAGTTCGGGGAAGGTAAAAATAGAGAGCACGCATCTTGAGACCGTAGCACAAATTGTAGCATATTATATTATTTCAGATTATTGTGGGAGTCAATTCTTGTAGGTTCGGTGCCTTAGCCAGCACTGTGCAGCCATGTAGCTTTTCTCAAGGCCCTATATATACTGATGCCGCCTTGCTGCAGCCCAAAGCCCCAGCAGGCTGCATTTGTCCTATTATTATTCATCTATGTAAATACTCTTCGTGCCAGTAATAAGGTCAATAATGTCAATGCTGTTGGGTATAGCAAGGCGGCTATGGCATATAGTCCTAAGGTCAGTCGGGCAAACTGCAGGGAGGTTATCTAAAGAAAGACTAATCTAATAAAAGATTATGATGTCATGAAAATGGGCTGAGCGATAACCATAAAAGGAGTGATAATATATGTTGTCATTTTTCCAGAGTGTAAGAATATTTATGCACGAGACTTTGGATTTAAGACCACATGGGGAGTTCATTTATAAACAAGTGCTTAAATAATCATTTAAGCACGAGTGGTCTTAAATTGCAAAGTTGAGTGCGTAAATATTCTTGCACGACGGAAAAGTGATGTTAAGTGTATTTAAAACAATTTTATGTCGTGACTTATTATCACGAATGTGCAAAACTGCCCATTTCTGTATAGTATTGTGTGTAAAGAGGGTTATTTGTGAGGTAAAGAAAAAAGTTGGGACTTGATTATTGGGGAAGAGGAAAGAGCACATGATCATAAATAATAACCCAACTGCAGCCAGAAATATATATTTATAAACATGAGTCGTTTGTTCGGCTCCTTGCATTAATTCACACTTGCTCTCTTCGTTCAGCTGCAAGTCCTGATGTCTTCTTGATCGGGTTGAAATTCCAATTTCAGAAACTTTAGATAATACACTACGGTTTTAAAGATTATTAGGATTTTTCACCACATGTTTTCATCTATAACCAAGTGAATGCTGCTGCCAAGGCTGCTGCAAGGGCCTGCAAGGGCTGCTACGGCTTGGCTGTGGCGACGACGGCGACGTTTTGCAAAAATGTCAGTTTGTTTTGTCTGCGAGCAGTTTGCACGTGATTTATGCACAGCAACCTCATATTTAAAACACAAAATTAACATGGCGTTTTCCGGGAAATTGTTAATGTTTTAAATCAATATTTACATTATATTTCCGACATGTACACATTCAAACCCTCCATATCGGTCGAAGAAATGCTCATATCGGTGATATTTTTTGCCATTTACTTTTGGTGCAATCCCAAGTAAGAAGCAAATTACATGATATCCTTTGGTCTCCTGATTTCATAGCTGATAGTTATTCAATGCACATTAAACAAGTTAAAAAGCACTAATACACTATGGAAAGTAATATCAAATTGTTGTGGCGAAGCAGTGCAGTGCCGAAGGCAATACCTTGGGAGAGATTACAGGCAATGGTAACTGGTAAGTCAAATATCATTGGTCGAATGCACATGAGTGATGAGCCTGAAGAAATATGACCCAAAAATATCAAACAATTATCATTTTACAGCGATTTTGCCAAACATCCCCACTTTAGTTATGTATGCAACGTCGTGGGAGACATAACAGAATACAGGCAATGGTAAATCAAATAGTTGAGTTTAAATGGTGGTGTAGGGCCGAAAGGCTGGCTTATTTATGTATTACGAGCGAGCAAGCGCAGCGAGCGAAGCGAAGTCTTCAATATAACGGAAAAATCTCAGTATGAGCGGCCCGGCCCGGCCTGTAACGCTTTTGAGAGGCTTATATCTCAGCAACCGCTGGACCGAATGGCCTGCGGTCTTTTTTGCTGGGTAGCCCCATCCCTTCTACCCCGTAATTGACTTCTTTTAACACATCTCAGTGACCGTCGTGGCACGTGCCACGTGAAAAGTCAAGGGTGTTCAAGCTGTTTTGCAAATATAGTGATTTTTAGAGGCGCATATCTCAGCAGCCGCTTGGGCGATTGTCTTTTACGGTAATTTTTGTAGGGTAGATGCATCCCTTCCACCAAAGGTCGGATACTCTTGATCTACGTGAGTGACCCCCACTGCACGTGCAATACAAAAAGAGGTGCCATTTTTTTCCCATTTCAATAACTCGGTAATTACTGTGGCGATTTCGCTGAAACTTGGCATACAGGTAGGCACCCACCAGGCAATGCATTCCCATGTGTTGCGGTTAGGGTGCTACTGCACGTGCGCACGTGCAGGGCTCGCTTGCAGATCACGAGAACGGCTGGGCCGATTGCGCTCAAATTTGGTACACGGTAGGGGACTGGTTAGTAGGGTGCCGTGCAAAAGTCAGTTTGGACCCCGTTTGCACGTGTGCACGTGGAGAATGCCGCTTCCAGATCTAAGAAACGGCTAGGCCGATTGCGTTCAAATTTGGCACACCGCTAGCGACCGGTTAGAAGGGTGCTTTGCACAAGCCCGTTGAAAGTACCCTCTTGCCCTTCCGCACGTGCAGGACTCACTATCTCGCTCGCTCGTTCTTCGTCCAAAAGGCGTTTTACTGGTTTATTTATTTATTTATTTGGGCTCAAGGATAACAGGCTGAGGCATACATGGGCCCTTTCAAGTGTCCAAGCACTGAAAATGTGTCAAATGTGACACACAAACACATTGACAGGAGCAATGCAACTACGATACAATTTTAATATGCTTTTATATATGTTGACACATTGGCCCTAAGTGCCCTTAACCCGCGCCCCGTAGGGCTAACGGCGGACCCTACCACCCGTAGGGGGGGGGGGCGTTTCGGCCCCCCCTAAGATCTCGGAAATTTACCGGCCGATTTTCAAAATTCAAAAGGCGTTCGATAGCCCCACCCGGGAATTACCTTGTGACTAAATTTCATTGACCGAGGTCAAACAGGTGACGTCACAGGTCAGGTCAAAGGTCGGATTTTCACCGTTCACAGGCATTCCAAGAAATGTGTTGTGAAATCGAGTAAATTGGTAAGTTATTGAAAACCATCGATGGTACATTGTTCGTCAAACACATACTTCGCTATCTGAGGTCACTGATACCAGGTCAGGTCACAGAGGTCAGGTCCCTGGCCCCTAGGGGTCACAATATGAAAGTGTCGTGTGATGCGTGTTTTATGGTCCATTTTACATGACAAATGCGATTATGTGGGTCAGGCAGCCTTAACGGCCAGCTTTTGTCACGTTTTGGTGAAGGTCAGGTCAAGGTCAGGTCATATTAGGTCAAATTTCAAAGTTGATATTTTTGCATAAAATGGGTAACGATTCGATGCAGCTCGTCACGGGGAGTCTAATGTTGGTCTTTGTTTTGCTCTACGATGTCTAGAACTGTCAAAAATTGAGTTTGAAAATTTGACGTCATCATTTTGAACAGTTTTTTTCGCTATAACTTGGCCAAAAAACGAGATATCGATCTGAAATTTGGTATGTAGATAGAAGACTGTAGGAACTATTACATATATTCCGTTTTTTCGAAACTCAAAAACTTTTTGGATTTTTTTGGCTAATATATCCAAAAAATTGCATTTTTGATTTTTGGGGGTCAAAACTCAAAAATTTCACAAATCTGAGATAGCGGTTTTGTAGCCCTGTCCATTCTATGTACACCTTTTTTGTCTTGATCATTTTTCTGTATCTTCAAAGCTGTAGGCCTGACAGCTCTTCTCGCGAAGGTCTTTTTTCGGTCGAAAATGGCAGAATTTGACGTCATTCTGACGTCATTTGTGGCCAACCTATCATAGTCTCTGGCAAAATTTTTGGTCACAATTTGTAAAATTGATGCCCGGAGGGGTCCTGAAAGTTTGGTGGTGATATCTCCAGCCGTTCAGAAGATATCGACGGAAAAGGACAGGGGGGGGCCGTCTCGCCCCCCCCCCCCTACGGGGCGCGGGTTTAAGAATCATGGAATACGTCAGCATCAGTACACTGAAACAAAAACTTATTAACAAACGATGGTGCTCTAACAAAAAGTTTCGTTTGTACTGCGTCTACTCTCGCAAATGGAACATTAAAGGGACTATCCCACCTTTAACATGGGGTTTGAGTTGAGATAGCCAAGTTTGCGGCGAGGTTCAGAAACCACTATCTTTCTAGGTTGCAACCCCCGCGGCCTCTTGGTGTTGAAGAAATTCGTTCCCTTCATTTGAAAATGGGCCTTGCACATTTAGCACAAGGCCCTATCTTCAACATGGAGCGACCGTTAGTGTGACGTCACCTCGTTTAGTCATTCTGATTTAAATGGGTTTGTTCGTTGAAAAATCGCTTTAAACTTGGTCTGAACTTTGTTGTGGTGCCTAAACAGTAAAAAGAATCAGCTTTATGACAGTAATGTGGCCTGGGGAAGGAGGTACTTTTGGGCTGTGACGTCACATATTTGAAAGTTTGTGTTTGGAATATGGGAAGCCTAAGATGTTTAATGAAAAATAAATGCCAGAACCGTGTTCCTGGTCATCCAATCTATAAAGTCGGGCACAATTTAACTGGTTTTAACAACATTTTAGAAGGTGGGATAGTCCCTTTAAGACACCACGTGTTTCTCGTTGCCCTTGGTGCGATAAATACCTAGAGGGAAATGGGCTAAAGGGCTGCACAATCGGTATGATTTCTATACAATTTTGCAACAAACATAATGTCATATCGTCTACGCCTATTCTCTAGACATGCAACGCCAAATAATCGCAGTAAGTCACTGTAATTGATAGCTGTTGATGAGTCTTGACATCGAGTATAACAATATAGCCAAATAATGTTTGGTAAAGGGTAATGGGAATGGTCGATTAGGTTCAACTGTTCAACTATTAAAATTTAACATTAAGTGGCAAATTCAGGTTTTGGTGATATCACACTATAGGGGAGAATGGGGCAGATTCCGTCATGAGACACATCCTGTCAGCTGGGTTTTCTCGAGAACTATCGAGCGCAGGTATGCTTTTGTATTTTGAGATGTTTGTTTTTGCTTGCCAAGGTTCAATACTATCAATACAACACCGTACCTACCTGTATTCATATTTGACAAAATGTGAAAAGTTGATTTTGCAACGCAAATCTGAACTTTTTGACTAGAAGAAGACGCTAGTTCATGACTATTCAGATAGCGTGATGGTGACTGAATACTGTTTCGGGTAGTCATGAGTGTCAGTATTATGCCAAAGATAATTTTGTCCATAAAGTCAAAAAAAGCAAAACATTTTGATTTTCATCGAGTGGGGCCCATTATGTCACTCGATCCGGGGCAGATTCTGTCCCTGGCAGAATCTGCATGCCGCCGTATCGCCCGCTCCGCAGCAGAGCTGGATCACGGATGGCCACCCCTCGCCGCCCCGCCAGGGCTAGCCTGTCTCCCAGGGGCCACGAACTCAGTGAGTGCGCGCTGCTCGTCACGCGGTGTGGGACGTGCAGGTGCGCGCTGCTCGTCACGCGGTGTGGGACGTGCAGGTGCGCGCTGCTCGTCACGCGGTGTGGGACGTGCAGGTGCGCGATGCCGGTTGAGGTTGCACTGGCATTGCAGTGCTGATTTTATATGCCAATTGGATACGACAGGACCCCCTCCCCCCAGCCCCACTCACACCCAAACAGTATGTCATCAGAATTACCATTTTAGACAGAGCATTGCTTTAGTGGACTTGTGCACTCGCAATAACACCTAAAAATACGTATCAACATAGGAAATTTGCAATAGTGGCAGATGAGCATTGAAAAGCACAAGTGCATTCATGAATTGGTTCGAAAATTCGCAAGAGGGTTCACACTTCACCCAACCCTCTCCCCCTGGAGGTGTCTAGAAATAGGCATTCCTGGCGAGTGATAGAAGACGTGAGAAAATTCGGTGTCAGGATCAATTGATATGGCTGTCGGTTTCTAGACATTGTAATTTGTAATGGACGAGGATGAGTGGAACACACTGAAATGAAGCATTCCAGAGACAGTGGATGGTGCGAGATGATAAAACGATGTGCCTCATTGCTGACAGACTGTGCCCCGTATATGGGGTACTTTCTGTCAGATGACGCATCGACAGATAACCGACTCTAGCGTCGAAACCACTTGAGGTATAACCGGAACACCAGCGGCGCATTTGAAGCTCTTGCTGTAGGGAATATGCCAGGGAAGCATCAAACTGCACCTGTTGAAAGTGTGCGCTCGATAGCCATTTTGTAAAAAGTGACAGATGTGCCCCAGTCTCTCCTACGTAAAGGGGGTAATTTAATGTCCCCCCACCCCTCCCCTAGCGGCTCGTGGGTTATAGCTTACCTATAGCAGCCGGGGTGGTTCAGTTTAGGACTGACTCATTGTTGATGCTATCAGGCCGATCCGATGACAGCTTGGACTATATATGAACAATTTTAACATGTTTGGGGTAGCAAGTACTGTGTCATAGCTTTTGAACTATTTTTGTTTTTGGCGAAACAATGATGGCTACGACGCAGTGAGAAAAGTCTTGTACACCACTGTTTCCAGAGTCGGTGAGAGGGTCAGCAGCGAGCGTTTTCGAGTGGCGGCGCTGCAGTGAGCAGTCGTCCTCTCCTGGCAGCACCGGCCAGCCTGACACTGGTCACTGCCATGACTGCTGACCGCCGGCCGCACTCCCCCAGCCGCAGTCTCTCATGGAGTGCCGAAACTGAAATTCATCTGTTTGATGCTATGACTGGCTATAAACCGGTTGGTAAGTGACGAATCTTACGCTAGCATTTCTGGTAGGTACAACTATTGTTACATTGACCAGCTGTTTTTTCATGTAATCGATTAAAAGTTCCTTTGTGCAGTCCACTGTACCTTCAGCTTAACAACCCGCGCCCCGCGGGGGGTCCTGGATTTCCACGCCCTGCTGGGGGGGGGGGGGGTGTTTGAACACCCCCCTTCTAACTTGGCTCCTGGGCCAAGTAGCGATACGCGGAAGGCGGTGTTCGAAAGAGCGCCAAAACTAATGACGAAATCACTTCGGTCACTTTTTTGGTCAGGTCAAAGGTCAGGTCACTAAAGGTCATTGAAGGCAAAATTTCGCCCATTTTCAGGTCAAATGTCGACAAATTCCAAGAAGCCAACGCATAACTCGGGAACCAATAGAGCTACAGCGCCGCGGAAAAGCGCATTCGATAGCCTTATTAACGCCATTTCTGACTAATCCTCACAGATTTGACCTAGCGCCAACGGTTTTGCCTGCAGGGGGCAAAACCTGCCAAAATAGACGTTTTTTTAAAACAGTTTTTCTGCAATAACTGTTGACTCAAGCATTGCACGAGCTTACTTGTACCGGCGTCGTTTTCCTCTCGTCAAGGCGCATCGAATGAACTATTACTTGACCTTGAACGGTCAACTTGAAAATTTGACCTCGGGTCAAGGTCATGACCTGACCGGAAAAGGGTCATGTTGCGTATCAGTCGGTCCGTATCGTCGAGCTGAACACATCAAAGGCATTTTCATCGCTTTAGCATGCCCCTATCAAAAGTTATTCGTGAAAAACTGTTAGATACCATTCGTGACCTGAGATGACCTCAGGGGCATAAACAGGGGTCACGGATACCATTTTCATGTTCAGTGTGCCTTACTGTGGACGTCAAACCGCGTGGGACGCGACTTTTTCGCAATAACTTTTGAATACGTTGCCTCTCAAGAACGAAACTTCGGCAATGGACATTTCAGACCCCGGCCTAATTTTTTATTATTAAGGTTTTTAATGTCAAATAAATATTTAGGGTACTTCCCGTTCACTCGTAATGCTAAGTGAAATATCAGCCCGGATGGCGGCTATCGTCAGGCTGCTCGCGAAGCCCCGCCTACTAACTACGAATTCCCTGCCATCTACCGTTCAGACACGACTGCCATCTGTCGATCGATCCTCACTCAGAACCGGTTCTGCATGCTGTGTGCGTCGGGTCTCAGATGGGCGGACATCTCGAAACCGAGATTGTTCAGTATGGCCTTTTACCAGGTTTTTTAATCCGAGAAAAAAACCGAGATTGTTCAACATGGCCCTTTACCAAATTAACTATACGAATTATTGACTTAGCAGCAGGGATGCAGAGCCTTGAACATTTGAGTTAGCTCCAGCTCCGGCTCCGGCTCCGAGTAAAATGGCAATACGGCTCCGGCTCCGGCTCCCACTCAGGGCAAAATATGACGGCTCCGGCGGATCCGGCTCCCCTCCGGCTATGCGTACCGGTGCATTACGGAAACATTTAAGTTGGGGCATATTGGGGCTTGGCAGGATAACACGAAGTGTACTAACCTTCCTGGCGGTTTGATATCTACAAGATCCTAAAATTATAATTTTAATTAAGAAAATTAACTTGACTGTGTAAATATATTATATTATTATGTATCTCATTTACGTAATTACGTTGACAAACTTATTAAATAATCATTTAATTATTTTCTGTTATTCTTAAATCATCGTAATATTTGGCGTACGCGTATAGTCTTCCTATCTGGGTGACATTCTTAGCGAGTCGAAGAAAATATTTCATTGATGGAAGTGCGAACAGTCAACACTCGGTCCATTCTAAAGAGAATACTCTATGTAGGTAGATATTTGAGCCATCATTCGCCATGCACGTTATGTCCACAAACACCATCTGAGCATTCATACCCTGTACCAAAACAAGTAGCATGTTTCAAAGAGTATATTTAGTCTACGTCATCATCAGACTCCTGATCAAACGAAAAGTCGTCGTCGTCGTCGTCGTCAGCGGTGATGATGATGCGGTCGATGCTCTCCTGAATGTTGTCCGTGGTCCAGTAGCCGTCTTCGAAGCTCCTGGACCGACGGACTGCTCCGGCCCACACCTCACTACATAGTGACGAGAAGACGAGCCTCTTCTAGCCTGTCCTGGAGGTCGGCTCGGGTGAATCTCCGTAGAGACGACCGTACGTGGCGCTTCATGCACCCCCAGACCTGCTCTATCGCGTTCAGCTCGGGGTGTCCCGGAGGAAGACGGACCACCTCGTGCCCCCACTCGCGGATGATGTTGTCGACGACGAACTGAGGCTCTGGCTTGTTTTGTTGGCATAGCAGCAGCAGCTCAGGTCTGGTGGCGCCGGGCGGTACCGGGATGTCGCGCTGGGTCAGCCAGTTGATGAGGTCGGCCTTCCTGGTGGCGCTCGTCGGACAGCGGCTCTCCTCGGTCAGCACGCTGTGGTAGGGAGCGTTATCCAGCACCAGCGCTGACGGCCGACTCAGCGACGGCAGCAGGTGTGACGTCAGCCATCGAATGAACAGCTCACTGTTCATCTCCCCATGGTAGTCACCACTCCTGTTCTTGGAGACGAAGCTGAGGAACGAGCCGTCGATCGTCCCCTCCTCGGATCCGGCCGCCACCACGATGAAGCGCTCACCGTCTCCCGGTGGGACCTGGCGGCTGTACGTCGCACTGGTGGCAGCCTGGGTGTTGTCCACCCACTCCCGACTGTGGCACATCCTTGTGGTAAACCACGTTTCATCAACGTACACGATTTGATGCCCGTTTTCTCTATGTTGCTTCAGTTTGCGCAGAGCTTGAATGCGGCGGCAGACGATGTCCAACGTCTCCTTTCTGACATACATCTTTCGTTGCGTTGATCGGTAGCGGAACCCCATCCGATGCAGGATTCTACGCAGCGTGCTCTCTGAGGTACCTGGTCGCAGGATCCCATCGGCAGTCAGCCCATCCAGTAGACGCTCGACTGTCAGGAACTCCTTGTTGGCGAAACGTGCGTACACGTGACGTCGGATCGCGCCGATGCACTATGGTTGGAAACGGCCTCACGGATGGCCATGGGCAATTTCGGAATATATGTATATTTGGGGTGTCATTCTGTTGGAAATTGATGAAATGTTTTGAATTGGGCAGAAAAAAATATTTAGTTGCGCATTTAGTCTTCATTATCGTACGTAGAATCGGGAGTTTCTGATAGTGGCTTTTTGGTGCGCCGTCAGAGGTTTAAACAACCGCGCTGGTGATAGCATGTGGAGTACCTCAATGACGTTGTAAAACAGGATTATTATATATCAAAATAATCCTTGTTATGTTGGCTATCGAGTGGAGTGACTCTTTTTTCCATGAGTGTTCAAACTCAGGAACGGCATTGCATTCTGTTTGCAGTGTCACCACAGCAACATTTGCAAAATTACGTTTATGTTTCATTGGACATACAAAAAGTTCTCCATCGACCTCCATTGAGTTTTTTGGCAGAATAGATCTCTGTTCAATTCTGCGTGAGGGGAACCTAAAAGCAAACTGCGCACTTGTGCGCAAAATCGTCCATGAAGCTTCATCTCCCGAGGCGTACCCACCCGTCGCTTCGTCAACAGCAGGTCGGCTCGTCAGTCGTGCAATGGCCTATCCTAATAAATGATGGTAAGAAGCAGGGTTGCGGAGCCGTGGTGGCGCCAAGTCCGACTCCGACTCCGACTCCGACTCCTGTCTCGTTGCCATGACTCCGGGCGACTCCGTCCCCGACTCCGGACCCCTGCCAGTGTTTCGGAGTCGTGATGGAGCTGTTCCGATTCCGACCGACTCCGACTTCCACTGCGGGCTCCTGACCGACTCCGACTCCGACTCCGACTCCTGGCTCGTTGCCACGACTCTGGGCGACTCTGACTCCGACTCCGACTCTGACTCCGACTCTGACTTCAACTCTGCACCCCTCGTAAGAAGTAACTGCTCGCCCCTGCACCTGGAGTATGGATATCGTGCAAACGTGTATGGATATCCTGGAGTATGGATATGGATATCCACTGACAGAACAGACATACAGACATGCTGTAAACGCCATTACACTGCCAATACCATGGCAAATCCAATGGCTATCTATGATTTTTTATCATCGTTCTACATTTTCCAAAATCTTGAACTGAATCTTGGCAATTTCTCGTGACTACTTCACGACCATGATGCATGCACTTCTGAAATTGATCTTTTTCAACTAACCACGTACTCGTATGATAAAATGAATGTCACCATCGTGTTCTACGCCCAAAAGTACTCATAAAACATGTGTCGTGGGCTGCGAATAGGTACCAGTTTTAATTTTCGGGGTTATGTGCTTACCTGATTGACCTGACTTTGACCCTGGCCTATGTTTGACTGACCCCTACATGGATCTGACACTCTTTTAGCACTTATATGAAGGGTTGTGCACAGTTGTGACAGAGTTTATGACGAGAGGCACCGATTGCGAGGTTCTAAAGTCCATGCTACTGAAAGCCTGATTTCAAGTGTTTGACCTGATCTTGACCCGACCGGTGACCTTGAAATTCAACTTTCAAGTATTCATCTGAATTGTCTCGTCGCGTTCTTTCGTTTGCCGCCTCGTGCGCTTCGCTGCGCCTATTGGTTCTCGAGTTATCGGCTGGGGGCGTTGAACGCCCCCCCCCCCCGGCAAACGGCGGTTGGGGAAATACCCCAGCAACTGCCGGGTTAATCAGACGCATTTTTGGTCATTTTGATCGCCATTTTATTTCTTACTTTTTTGCCCAATCTAAAAAAAAATCATTAATACATTTTCTCCAAATTTTTGACCCTTTATGACAAATAGTAGGACACTGTGCGTCACTACGTTGATATTTCTCGCCCTAAAGCATAACAACAATATACATTCAGTATAGCAGTATTCAAAACATGTTCAAAATGCCTCGCGATATCGATGACATTACGAAAGACCTAGGCGACTTATAACATGCTTGCA